GTATTGACCAACATTTTAGGCAAACAGGCTTAGTGCACACCTGCAGAGCACTCGCTTCCTGGTCTCCTTGGCACGAACCTTCCTCAACAAGTCTTCTAGCTTGCTCGATTCCTCAAAGTGAACCCCAAGGTCCTCATCTTCTGCTATGCTGATGATATCTCTGTAGAACATGGATATGTCAAAGCCCCCATGTTTCTTTAGGTGCATTAAATCAAGGAAGATACCTGGTGCAAGGATACACAAAAAATGAGGGGAAAATAAACAATTTTCAGCAAATGAGAAGTTTTTTCAGTTTAACTCAAATATGTTTTTAAAAGTTCCCAAAAAACTAGATTGATTATTAACATTTTCAGGACTTAGAGAAAGTGGCTAAGGCAATCAGCTGCTATAACAACTTATTCAAATGACCACCACTCATTGTAACACTAAAATCAAGACAAGCTTGCTCTGGTGGAGTCCTTCAAACAGCTAATAACACAGTTATTTTCAGAGTTAATGTTACACAGGTGTCTTCCCCTGGCTTTACTTTATTCTTTCATTTTACTCGAATGGTGAAAAGCAAATGCTGACATCAGCTATAAAGAAAGCAATAAAATTAAGTGCCAATTTAAAAGAACAGGGAAAATGCCCACCTGTGTCACGAAGATCACTGGCTTTGGTCCTGGCCCGACTGGCTTTGGCACTGTCATCGCCGTGGGGGTTGTCTTCATTAGTGAACAGCATGATCCTCTTATGACTCATCTTAAACTGGACATCGCTAAAGAGGTTGGCACAGACCCATAGCACTTCACTTAATGAGTAGTCAGATCCATGGCCCATTAGGTCTTGGAAATGTTTTTTTCCCTGTGGCCCCTTAAACCGGTCAAGCTCTAGCACTCTTTTAGCACCTGATCAGAGGCAGGGAGTCAAATGGACAGAAAAATTAGAAGAATGTCAGTGGCCACCTTTACCACTAACAGAAAGGCTAACAGAAAGGCTGGGGTCTCTTTCTTACCCCAGAGCTCTATAACCCATATAGCAGAAGTCCGCATGCCAGCAAGAACCCCCTGGCAAGAAAGCATACTCCTAGACAAGATGCAACCTGCTTCCTTCTCCAAAGCCCTCTTTCTTCAGGGTAGTGACATTCTCATGTAAGGGAAAAGCTGACCTTAGAATATTATTCACCTGGATTGTCCAACTCCTGTAAGACGTAAATATTTTTGAAATTCACTGAATTTTTATCTTTCTCGGTACCATAGAATACCACTGCCAAGAGATCTTGATCGCTGCTTATGATTTTACTGGTATACACACTCAGGATACACTGAAAAAATAAAAATTCAATTAATATTTACTTACCACTAAACTTAAGCTCCATAAGTGCTGGACACATAGTAGGTGCTCAATATATATTTGCTGAATTTATGTATGGCACTAGGATAAGACATGACCCCTACCTTCAGGTAACTCATGAATCAGTGAGTAATAGGCATATATATCAAGTTATAACAAAAGGCAACAATACACGGTAGAAGTATAAGCAGTCCCTACTATAAGAAATCAGAGAATTAAAAACATGTATATTCTGGGCCAGCCTGTGGCTCCCTTAGCAGAGTGCGGTGCTGGTAACACTAAGACCCCAGGTGTAGATCCCTATATAGGGATGGCCTGCTAGCTCACTTAGGAGAGCGTGGTGCTGACAACACCAAGTCAAGGGTTAAGATCCCCTTACCGGTCATCTTTAAAAAAAAAAAAAAACACATGTATATTCTCAGGGAGGAAACTGCTATAGAGGGAAAAAGTCCAGCACTGGAATCAGAAAACCTGGAGCTGAGTTCCACTGATGTCTGTCTTAATCACTTGAGTTTGGACAGGTCACTTGATCTTTCCTCAAGTATCCTGATACCAACAAACAGTTTATATATTTAAAATAATTACAAAGTTTAACTTAACGATATGTGACTCGAAAATGTCAGTAGCTACTATTAGCATCTTTTGAAATAAAATTGCTTAATCACCCAATAAAAGATATCAGTATTACAGTCACAAGAAAGGTCTATTCTCCCATATAAACTAATGTCAGGTAAATCAGGTCTTGTCAGAGTTGGTCACTCCTGGGGGCTTATTTAATTCTGGGAGTACTTACCAGGGCTAAGTTTTTGAATCTGCAGAGCTTAGGAATAAATCAACCATGGTGACCCCCTCCATACCCTGCCTGAGCCTGTAACTGGCCTTCTTCCACAGCAATTTTTTCCTTAAATGCAGAACGTATATTTTGGCTAGTCATTGCATGGCAAGTAGTCATTTCTATAAATATTTTAATCTACTCTATGAGCACTCTACAAACTTTTTTTTTTTTTTTTTTTTTTTTTTTTCC